CCCCAAAACCCCAAAACCCCAAAACCCCTCACCTATCTACCTAATTGAAACTATTATATGTTTGATTATTTATATATGCTCGATAGGAGCTTTAGCCTCCTATGAGCTGGCTTAATCATCTTTCTTTTGTAATTCAGCACCAGAGGCTCACTCAACTTCGGAAGTGGCTTCCTGGCATTCTCCAAATCTAGAGTAATTCTTTAGCATGTATTCCATAAATTTGAAATGAAACTTCAGACATTTTTGGATATAAATATAGCCAAGACTTACTTTTATGACTAAACTTCAGACTACTTGTCCTGAAATTAGCCATAGTGCTATTTGCTGTACTCGGCTGGGTAGTGACAAACTGTGTAGATACTTCTGAGCATGACTTCCTCTTGCAACAGTTGACTGGCTTAAAGTCCGGAATAAAGCCCACACCGAAATTCGGCTTGGTGTGCTCATTATAATCCATTGATGAGCTACTGATTTAGACCCTGAATAACTTACTTTAACTTTCTCCTAATTACCGTGAAAAACTCCTTCGGATCTGAAGTTAGCGAAGCGTTGTGGACTGAGCCAGAGGAGCCCACTCTAGTTGGACTGAACAACCTTCTCCTCTTGCAGGGATATCTTGTAATTTCTGGAACCCAAGTTGACCTAACTCTTATCTTTCATAGCTCATGCCTGTTTCGAGCCCTTTGCCTTCTACGAGCCTTCAATCAAGGATTTTTGCACTATAGAAATAATAAATTTCTAAAGAATTTTTCAAAACTAAGATTCTAGAAGTTAATTTTTAAGAGCACTTGGTAAACTGAGTAACAAACAGGGCTTTGCTAAGAACAATCTCGTACTTTAGCTGAAGGTTTAGGCTGCATACTCTTCCTGAGTTCCTTGGCCATTCCTCTCAATTTCGTCTTGATCTCGTCGAATTCCACTAGCCTAGTGTAGAATTTCTAGATGCAAAGTTAGTACATAAGCCAAGGCCATGAATCAAAATGATAGCTTACCGAGTAATTTCGGGGGATTAATTCCAAATCTTGATGCTCCTGCTGCTCCTCTTCGAGGTTACAGCTCTTTTCTTGCTCCTTCGAAGTAAGCCACTTACTCGATGATAGCTATACAGAGGTTAGGAGGGAAATCAGAGAATAGGCTGAGCTCACACCAAGAACTGTTCAAAAGTTATATGGCCAAATTAGGACTCTATACTACAGAAATTTATCAATCTTAGATTATTCAGCCTCATCCAGCACGGGTAAAGAGACTAGTCGAGTACAAGAGGTTAACTTCAGAACTATATTAGAACAAATGACATCGCACATCTGGATGATCTCCCACTGAACTTTCCCAGCACCTTTGCAACTTCTGGAGTCAGCAAGGGCACCACGACTTACAGAAATAGGGCTCAGGATCTTGGAGGTCTTAAACTTGGAGAAATTCCTCTTGGCCTTCATATTGTCAGGTGACCCAACACTAGTTGTGCTCTTCATGTTATTTTTAAATAACCCAATTGATATAAATGGATAAGGGGTTTTGGGGTTTTGGGGTTTTGGGGTTTTGGGGTTTTGGGGTTTTGGGG